CATCCTTAACTATGATTTATTGTAAACGAATTCAATGTTCTGTTAGGTATTAAAATTCTGTCCTTAAAGCGTGAAACTATCAGAGAAATTAATTCAGTAACGTTCCAATTATTTTTATAATCCCTATCGTCATTACAATCAATGAATGCACTATGCTGTTTTTAACGTACGGTAAATTCACGCCGTCAAAATAATTGAAAGTAACAGGATTTTTGTAGACTATATCACACATCCCAAATCGGTTTCACTTTATGCAAATTATGGTTTCGTAATTTGTAAAACGAGATTCAAAATACGGATGACTAAGTAAAATAAACTAAGTTAGATTGATAGAGAAAAAAACCGATTGCTTTAGTAAGCTGTAAACTCCATTTTAGTAAAACAGTATAGAGAATATATATATATATATATATATATATATATATATATATGTTATTTTTATATATGTACCGATAAGTATGAATCTTGTTGTCACACTCTCTTTGCAAGTTATAACAGAAATAACGAAAAAATTGAAAAGTTTGAAAGGATAGAAAACTATACTGGTGTCAGCGTAACTTAACAACAACTTCGCAATCGAATTTTCAAGTTGGCTATTCGGGTTATCCATTGATGTGCCTTTTTATAGTTATTCGTAATAGCTATGCAATACCCTAGTATATTAGTCTTCAACGTTTCTTTAAAACTAATACAATGAAAATCATAATTTGAGATTATCTTTCTTTATAATTATTTGGACTTCAATAAGTCAGTAAATAAATTGTTTCTTTTTCTTTTTAGAAAGCATACAGAAGCGCCCGTATTATGGCTGAGACTGATTACAATGAATATAGTGAAAATGTACACAACTTATTTCCAGTTGATTGTTACTTTCTTTATTGAAAATATACAACGATAAAGCTTCTTAGTTACAATCTTGGACTTAAAATTAGTTTAGTCAATTCTATGAATAAGATAAATTTCCATTAGGAAGGTGAATACTAAATTCATAGATAAACGTACCGTAACACGGCAGCTCTATATTAGTTCATTTCACTGTATCCAAGTTTATTTAAATAGATGCATTTACATGAACCATTTCTAAACGTGAGATGTAAATGTCTGAAAAGAAGTTTAACCGGAAGTGTAAATTTCTTCATTTGAGTTATGATTAGTAAATATTTTGTCACATAATTAAATCAGAGGAAGACTAGATAAAGACGTCCCACCAATTACTGTTACGGTTTATACAGGAATCTTGTTTCGAGTTACGTTCATATTACCCGCTAGTTCAGTGCCTTGTTTCCTGTAAAACATATTTTCTGATTTTTCACACTAATAAGCATACATGTAACACATGCTAAGACATTATTCATGTAATCATACTAAGTTAACACAACATCTTTGAGTACTTGGTACTTTATGATGTTACTAGGACAACCAGTAGAGATATGAAAAAACCTCTTCATTCTGTATATGTCCCTCTGGATGATTAAATATTCATATACATAGTGACAAGGAGCATGCCAGCCAATCAAGTCAAGTAGGTAAGTACGTCTTGTCCAATGACTGGTATTCGGTACTTCACGACGGTCTGGTCTGACCTACGTTTCACCTGGAACACAAGAAATTAATCCAAACTCGAATCCTAGTGACTAACATCCTTTCAGGCTTGGTCTATTTGCGCAGAGCTCTCGGTATGAACCTTTTACATATACAGGAGCAAGTTGAGGCGGCATTCAACAATGTGCTAGTCTGTTTGGTTGCTATATCAAATCACTGTCCACATCGACCATAGTACAGAATTACACACAAAAAAGATGGAATAATAGGCAACAAACTACCTAAAACGAGGTGAAGAATACGTCATCTAGTCTCTAATTAGTAATTACGGTTCTTAGATCTTATCAACGAGTCCTGCAGCTCAGAAAGACTCACAAAATAAATGGGTTCCATCCATGCCTTAGTGCATCCCTTGTGATCAATCCTCCACTATAATTTAACTTTCATTAAAATAACATCAAATAACATGACGTCTAGAAAGAGCTAACGTGTTCCATTCACTGCAGTTTATGAAGATCAGCAGCTCAGGCCGACGATTTTGATGGTGTTCTTTGATGGCATCAGAGAATTCCCGTTGTCACTTTGAACACCTCCAGAGCCTATTGTGTATATAAGTGGACTTTTCGGCTGCTCAACAAGTGCTACATCGATTTTCTCCGATGGCCTTGTTTGTTATTGGGTATATTAGTAGATATTTTCCCCGTCATGTGTCCTTGTATTTATGGTAATTATTTCTAACAGTTGACTCTTGGCCTTGATCACATACATAAAGATTCACAGATCGGGTCTATACCGATTTCTGTTGATAGCTAATCTGTCTAAATGCCATTTCCTGAGAAATTGGCTGGCATTTTCGGAGTTTTCTCGATCCTAGTTTTAATGTTTCTTTGATTGAATTAATCTCCATAGTTGTCTGGATGCACTAATATAAGTGATGGGAAATTATGCCAGGCCACCGCTGACCTATGTTCATTTGTACATAGGTGAAGGGGACGACCGCTTGTCAAATCGAATATTTTTTGAAGTTGATGCAATTTATTTTGCAGATGGTGGGTTTTTCGTTATTGTCTTTGATCTGTGTAGAATAGAATGAAGCGATCGTACTGCTCTGTAAACGATGTTGCCTCAGAATCCTTGTACTGGTTTTCGAAACATTTCTCATACATGGTTGAATGACATCTTTTAGTTTCCGGAGTCGGTTCTTTAATGGTGGTAATTCATTAGACACTTTACGGTGAAGCTGTTAGGGTAGCCATTCTTGAGGAGCTTCCTCAATTTTCCGCATAGTGAGCGCTGAAGCGAGTTGTTGGTCTTCTGTCTTCAACCTCAACAACTGGTTGTTTTCTACTTCAATACTATACCACCAACCACAAAAACAAACAGGGGATGAGTAAATATTATTGGTGGCTAAAACTGCGTAACCTAGTATATAAAATATGACATCACGGTAAAATACAATTAGGTCATTACGCAACAAATCTGAAAATTGATAGAAAATTTCGAAGAACGTCTGTTGCTGCATGCAACAATTCCTGAAAGACTTTTTCACCAGTTGCGAGGTTTGGTTAAATTTGTACTCAAAACATATGTCAATAAATGAAGCTAACGTGCTGAACCTTCCTCATCACTTCATATTAAGAGGGTTGAATGCTAATAGGTTATGATGTGACGCTTATATCTCAATTACAAAATGCACACCTTGACTTCCGTCAATATTTCGAGATCTTGAGTTTTTCTATCGCTAAAATACTAAATTAACAAACCTAACGTCAGGACTATCGAAGTGAAGTGAAAGCATCTTCCGAGAACTTTGTTCGTGCAAATGTTTTCTAGTTCACGATTTCGTGGTTTATGTGTACAGAATTTTCGTGATAAACCTTACATGATTTTGCACTTGACTCCGATAAGTTTTTGTAGTTAAGAGTGGACGGAAAAACCAGTAAATATAACAAGTATGTCAGGATAATGCGAAAAGATACCAGGAAATCCACGCTATTTGTGAGTCTTAGCATCGTTCTTTAAAGAGAAAAGCAACTCGTAAACATTACGACTGAATTTTGTTTCCAATCAGAATTAAATGTCAGAACTAAACCGTTCTTCCTGAGCAACCATGCAAGCTTAAAACATGCACTGTTTTTCACAATCGCAAAGTAGATAATCGATGAGAGCATTAAAATATAAACACCTTTGGAATTTTGTATGAGTCAAGATTCGAATGATTATTTGTAAGATATTTACCTATCAAAATGGCCTTATCTTTTATTAACTTTTATGTAAAGGAACATCTACCAGCAATCAGTTTTAAAATAAGAATATCAACAGATTCCACAATATATCAATGAATCACAACAGACAGAGACATGAACAACATCAGGCAACTTAGCTACAGCAAGTATACTAGTACACTACATAAAAGTGGAATGAAGTAACTTTTGTAGGAAATGTTTAGACGTCTGCTTACTTTCTCCACTAATCATGCTACAAAGATTATCTAAAACTAAGTAAATCTAGAACGGATGCTGAGAAGTTTGACATCATTTAAATTATAACTCACGACGATAGAAAGGACGCAAATAACCGTAAACTCCAAACGAGACCACAATCGTACAGTAATAATGTGAACTGAAATGATCAGTTCCGGGTACATCACGTTTACTGCTGCTTGTAAGCAAAAGTCATTTGTTGAATCCTTATAGTAAAAGATAGGGACCTAGTCATGTCTCTGAAAAGTACCATTAAGGTGCTTCGTAAGAGATAACTAAATCAGCAATGTAACACAAGGAAGAATTAGAAATCACGTAAACTGGCATTCACATAGTTTCACGAGCCACTATATTGACGCCTGTGTCGTGTAAGGGATTTTTACCAATACTGAGTTCGTTTTCCATTCCAGATACGCCTTCTGTTGAGAGCAGTTGACTCCTATTCGAAATATAACTTAAATGTGACCTTGGGTTAAACAGAGAACAATATTACAAACTATCCAACAGCCAAACTTCAAATAACGTAAAACACTGGTTGCAGATAACGCAAATACACGCACGGATCCTCCTATAGCACGAAATATCAAAAGGACTAAAATCAAGATTGACGAATCTTTTAATCAACAAAAGTGAAGCGGTTTCATAGTGCAATATTTACTTGTTTGTAGAATACTTAAATGCCTCGCTTACCACCCGATATTCATAAAGCCAAGAAGATTATACAGCATATTAAAGAGAATTTAATTGACGTTCCAGCTTACAATATCTACCGCTGCAACCTGACAGGTTAAAAAGGGTACATAAACGTAAATGGTACAAAAAATAGGCTGAATGGGAACAAACTGGAGTTGACACTCAATAGTGAGATACTTGTATCTAAAGCATTTCTGAGAACGAATTAAATCGACATAATAGCTTTCTAGCCAAGACAACAGAACATTGTGTTGAATTCAGAATCTGGTATTTCGAAATCTGATGGATCAAATTCATCACCATCGTCTACCAGTACTAGTAAAAAACAACAGACCTCACCATTCATTGAAAATTCAACGAAATCTGAAGAATGACTCATGCAGGAAAGAGAAATCACTCCATCCACAAGTGAGTTTATATTATCAAGGCGAGTGCATAAATCACCGTAGTCATCTGAAATAAAAGCTGTTTTGTATGAGCACAACCTTTGTCTTCATATGCACAGAATTTCTCACATGCTTCCTTATATACGTTTTCAGAAACTACAGTTTTAGAGGGTCGCATTATTTCTGACTGCAGATGAACATGCTGCTGAATGTTCAAATCTCTTAATCCTAGTTTGCGCTTTGCATTATTCAATAGTGGAGTTTCAGCTTTCAAGTTGTCACGAATGTGAGTAGAATTTTCTGTCTGATCACCAAATCCTAGCATGTCCAGATCTTTCAAAATGTTACAACGACCTCAAATTATGTATCCACAACGAAATGAAAGTTGACCTTCCGTTAATCCAATATCCAATATCTTTAAGATGAGCTTGTACATACATATTTATTTCTTCGTACTAACTTCTCAAATATTTAATATGGTTCTCAGTGCTTGAAGATGTCCAACTGATGATAGTCTAGTCAATCGATTGCACTGAGTTTAGCTACTGTGGTAGTCATTTGTGGGTTTGTATTACAATTAAAGGAACGAAGAGAAGAGAACGCACCGAAGTGGCGAGCGATGGGGAAGGCGAGTGAGCCAAATCCATTTAATCAAGTGTTAAGCGATCTTTATAGTCATACAAAAATAGGCTGCAGACATTAGATGAGTAGGACAAGAATTACACACATGCTATCGCATTTAATCTTTCTCATTACGTCGTTGGTGACACCACGTGCAGATGAACATTCGTTCATCAAGTGAGCTCATTTGTGGTTTTCATCTCAGAAAGAGCTCACAAATAAAGTTCGTCTCATAAAACTTGTTACTTTTTTGTTATTTAATATACCATTTTGTTGCAAGTACTATGTATTACAGTTCTGCTTCACTCAGAAAAAGACACTTCTGTTTGTGGTGCTAATATTTTTAGTGTATCACCAGCACTTGTGAGTACAGTCATGTCCTGAACAAGTTCATTTATTGAGATCCACGTTAGTATATTTTGTAATCTGAATAAGCGCATCTATTACAGGACAGTAATGTTTCAAAATCAATAGCTATCACACTAAGAAGCAGAAGGTTGCCTGATTGCAGTGTGAAAAGAAACTTTTTAATTTTTGAATACTATAAGAAGACAACTGACTCTATAAGTAAATAAATAAATAAGTCAACTAATCTAGACAGTTATTGAGGCAGTAGAATGAATCCGAAGTTTAAGGGGTACTGTGATGACAAGTAAGACAGGAATATGTAGAGAATATCTGGCAATAATAAAACTAAGTAAATTACGAGACAAGCATCAGGAACAGGCAGTGCAATTCGAAGAAGGTGAATCTAGGATGATTACTTTGTGGAGTGTGATGGTGATGTTATAGTGGACTATTTGTGAGAAGATTATTTAGGGTAAGACATCAAAACTTTTCGAAATCTCTGTCAAACAATTGTAGTTAACGTTCGTTTCATAAAATTTATGTTGCAGAGAGTATTTATTAAAGAAAGTATCATGAATAGTAAACCTGACGATTATTTCAAAATCACCGTATTACCTTCCTTTTTCTCTCATTCTGCATTAACATCACAATCGTACTCAAAATCTGTCATTTATTTGCCATACTTATTATTACATACCACCTGTCAATTTAGTAATACCTCCGTACCTTTTTCGGCAGTCAACTAATTGCCCACTTACATTTTTCTCTGTTTGCTTCACTGAAGAAAGAATTTCGCCAAAGAATATAATACTGCTATGTGCCATTTCAGCAATTCTTAGCTACGAAGGATAATTGGTTTAAATAAACTTCTCTTTAAACTGTCGGCTTCAAGCACAGATAAGAATATTTACTAGTCCTGTGTGCTTCATTTGTGACAATTACCTGAATCGAACTTTAAATGAATACCTATTACTAGTTCTTCATTACTACTTTCGTCTCTTACAGATTTCTCGTCATGGATTTCACTATCAAGTTTCGTGCAATACTATTGATCCTCTATATCACTATACTTTAATTAAGTCCTCGTCTGTGTCACTACAACAGCAGTGATGTGGTTCAGTCTTTCAGAGGCGTAAAATATGCAGCTTTCGATCGTGGTAGTTAATAGTTGGTTCCACAGGCATTCGATATAGATATTGACTTCAGCAGTGTTACTGAAAACACTAGCTGAAAACACGTGGTCACGTATCCTTACCACATCATGAGTGAGTACGCCGTATTATGCACCCCTTGCAACTACTGGACAGTTTAGGTCAAACGCTCTTCAACTTATGGGTAACTTTTGTAATATATCTTTGAACTCATTCATGCCTGACTTCTGATTTGACTGAGCTGATTACTTTCGATTTTAACAGTTCTAGGTACAAAAGCATTTTCAAACCCTGAATATCTACGGCATTTTTAAAAACATCATGAAACTGCAGAGAAGTAAATGAATAAACTGTCCTTTCTTGCCATAAAAGTAAACTTACTGTTAATTTAACATCACCATCGCTGACGGGCATTATAAAAGTATCGTAGCCTCGCTAAAACAAGAAGAGAGTGGAAAAAGGACAGTTTATTGATATAAACTCACCACGAATACCTTCGATATCTTAAGTATTAGATTTGGTGGTGGATTTCGTTACTAGTGAGACGCTACTATTGATTTTTGAAGGATGTCTACATGATGGCTTTGGAACATAGTTGGGTTAGACTAAAGTTTGGTGTAGTTTGTGGAGATATGCACGACAAGCTTGTTTCGTAAACAGTTTTTGATGTTATTTGTATTCGGTCTGTTCGTTTTCCGTAGCCTGTACATTTACCATTAAATGATTGTAAGTGTATGACCTCGAACACACTTTCTTCCGTCGTGTTACTCATAGAACGACACACGCTGTAACCTAGTAACAAATACACTGCTATACACATACCTCTTGATCTCTAGTGGCATTGGACCATGACCACACAATCCTCAAAGCTGAATACGAGATTACTTGGAAAATAGATATTCAATATTTAACGCGGAGAAATACCTTACGATGGAGAAGGCGCGAATAAGGAATTGAATGAATCGGAGTTGATCGAACGGCATGGCGCAGCATGCAGGCGTGGTCCCTGCTGAATGTTACCTTATATTTTCCATTCATATTAAATATGTTGTTCTTTCTCTAGCCTAGCCTTGTTCTACATCATGTATTGGTAATTGATACGATACAGTGAGTTGGTGTAGTTGGTGGTGTGACTTCCACGTAAGATCTTATAGATTAGGCAGTTATATCATGACAAATCTACAAATTTAGGATTAGGTCTGTTATTAGAGCAGTACTAATATTATAGTAGACCATAGTTCTACAGATCTTTTATGGTCGTGATTGTGTTAACTGAACTCTAAATCAACTACCGTCTACATTTATAGACTACAACCAAATTATACCATATTCTACGTTTCGTTATGTCACTGGAACGACATCAATCTTACTGGAATATTCAATCATCTCTAATTGTGGATTTTGGTACCAAACTCAACCGGAACACGGGCAAACCTGCTGAATCAGGTAATGTCTCTAATTTTTGTTGTGTTTATAACGTTTATCTAATATATACTAACAGTACAGTTTGTACTTAATAACTCTGCTATCATTTTTGAGTTTATATATTATTTGGTCCATTACAAGTTACGCGTCAAACACTTATACAAGCTACATGTTAATGACCACTTCAAAGAACGGTGCGCTATTTCTGAGATAAAATTCTGCTATGTTTGTTATTTTCATTCTGAATGACTGAGAACAAATGAATTAAACAAGGACTAGAATACCAGTGTTTTTGAGTGTAAATGTAAGTACTTGAATTAATTGGCTTGTGATATAGTACTATACAATCGAACTATTGTAACGCTGAGTGGACAGAAATGAGCTGAGCTAACAGTAGTATTTGGACTGCATCACAACTAGACCTCTTTTTAATTTAGTTGGGTTGTCATCGACATTTGAAATTCACAGCAGTTGTACTACGATAAAAATAACAAATTGAAATGTGGTATTTCCTTTAACAGTTATATTCTTCTTAAGATATGGTGTACTAAAATGAGTGAACATTTACTTGTTTTTAATATAGCCTTATTAGACACTAAGTTTTATAATATCAACGTTCACTCCGGGTCCTAATGTTCCACTAAACAGTGTCAGTTCTCATTCTGTACAAACTTATCCCCTTTGCGAAGATCAGTGTACTAACCCGTCTGTACCGACTGTTCTTGCTTAACAGAAGTTAAATACAATATCGCAAATCAGTGTCCAATAATTAGAACCGTGACATCTATTTAAGGAATTAGTGAGAATGTGTGAAATTATGGTTTAGTCCGGTATTAGCACACTTATGTTCGTCACTATAATGATAGACCGAATTCCCAAACTGTAGACTTTTCATGATGTGACCACTCGATTTATAAGATCTCACATGGAAGTCACGTCACTCTACACACTGTGTCGTCCTACATGGCGACCAGCAATATGACGTCTAGCACTTCTGAAGAACACAGCCGGACTGGATAGAGAGTTATATATTCGACACATCGAACATTACTTATGTAGAGTGACCACACTTGCACGACTGAGCCATGCCATCTCGAGTGATTATTGACGTATTCACCACTGTTAACCTTTCCTCTGCTTTAATGTTGAATGTCAGCCTTCTCAGTAATTGTATATTCCGCTCCGAGTGTCATGTGTTAAGGAACCAGTATCACTAATAATGCACTGCTTTTCTTCTGTAATTTACTGCCTAATAAAGACGTTAATTAACCGCTATTGATTTATTTTAAGTAGTGACAACGTAAGCGATAAGCATACGAACGTTACACATCACGAAGCAGATGTACATCATATATGTCCTAGGGGAATAAGTTGTCCAGAGAATGTGAATATTAAAGATTCCCCCGCTTAGCTTCAGTATACTCTGTATGCTTGTCACATATGGTAGCATCCAGACCTATCGTAGGAGTCTATATCC